GGGGCTGGGGAGGGAAGATGGAGGGGAGCGAGAGCGCAGGCGCGTGGGCGGGGTAGGGGCTGGGAGGGCAGATGGAGGGGAGCGAGACGGGAGGCGCGTGGGTGGGGCTGGGGCTGGGGAGGGAAGATGGAGGGGAGCGAGACGGGAGGCAGGTGGGTGGGAACGGGGCTGGGAAGATGGAGGGGAGCGAGACGGGAGCTGGCGAGGGTCACACGCATCATTGCAGGCTGCTCTGGGGCAGTGCAAAAGTAGAACGAAGCACGGTGGGGGTAGTGCTGCTCCATGCTTCGCGGAGGCATGTGGGGAGGTGAACCGAGTTTAGCCCCCTCGCGATGTCGCAAGAGATCGTCCAGCGCGCGTCGAAGTTGACAGCCGGGCAAGCTGTGATGGCGTTTGTTCCATCGCCAGCAGATGCTTCAGCGGTCTCACGTCACCTACGCCGGGCTTGGAAAGGCGCGACCGGAGTACCCACTGTGTTTGAATATCACGGGCGGGTCTCTGTGTCTGATCGTCGCCAAGCCTTGGAGTCTACCGCACCAAAGGTGATATTGGCTACAGCAGTTGCTCGCGCCGGGGTTACTCCTGGCTCTTGCTCCTTAGTTCTGTCAGCCGGGACCACGAAGCAGACGGTCATTGACTCCGAGACAAGGCGGTCTCAATTAGTGCGTCGTGCGACCACTGAGCGAGAGCTTGTGCAGGAAGCTGGCCGTGCTGGGCGTGTGGGTGACAGTAGGCATCAGCTTTGCGCTCATGTAGTGTTCTCGGTGCCAGCCCTCCTCCAAGTGGAACTGGCGGCTTGCGCTGATGCCTCTGGCTTGGCTGGCAACTCCGCCCTTTATGGTGTCCATGCGCGGTTAGATCCTCCTTTGGCGCATCATGTGGTTTTGGCCACTGAAGAGCTGCGTGATTCAATTCAGCAGCTCGACGCGTACTTAGAGGCACTGCGGAAGGAGGTGCAGGCAGCCACGCAATTGCGGCCGATCCCATGGCACACGGAGCCGGGAAGAAGCTCAGGCGATGCTGTGGGCTCGAGATCAGTTGAATGCCTTGAAGAAAGACGAGGCTCGAGATGAGACGGTCTATTCAGACAGGCGTCAGGCGCTAATCTCGAGAATTCAGTGCGCATCCGATGGTGGCGAGAAAGAATTCTTGCTCGACAAGTCATAGGAGTTGGAGGTGGACCACCATGCGAGACCTGGTCGGTGGCCAGGTGGCTGGGTGGTGGACCCCCCCTGAAATGTAGAGGCCTACTTGTACAGGTTCCACTCCAGTGGCCTATCTAGTGTGTCCATGCTTGACTGCCATAAGGCTCAAGAGGATAAGACTCTGCGTATAAAAGACACTAGCGGTCTGCACCTCAACCGTGTACGCCCTAGTCACTCTTTCAGTGGTAGCGGAGCAGTGATCCTGGAAGACCCAGGTGAGCTCTTTTCCTAGGTAGGCAAACGGCCATGGATTGGATTGACGACTGGGAAGAGCCTGATGCGGATGTGGCTTATGAGCCAGCAGCCTATGTGAATAGGCATGTGAGAAGAGAACCAGCAGCTATAGCAATGACAACACAGGTCACTACAAAGGTGCCCCCATCTTATGATGGAAAGACTTCATGGTTTTCCTATGAGGATGCCATAGACGATTGGTGCGATATCACCGAGCTGGAGGATGAGAAGAGAGGACCAGCATTAAGGAACAGATTAGAAGGAGAAGCAGCTGTATACAAACGTGTTTTAGACAGAGATGCATTGAAGGCGAATGATCCACCAGGAGCTGGAGTAGATTATTTCAAACGAGTACTACGACCATATTTTGTGAAGGGATCGACCAATGTATTCCTGTATAGGTTTATGCAATTCGCGCGCTTCAATCGCGGATCAGCGGACATGATGAAGTGGATGACAAGATTTCAGATTTTACTCCAAAGGCTTATGAGCAGTTGGATGGACATGTTGGATCCAGTCACACAAGCACATCCTCAGGTACTAGCTCAGATGCAAGCTGATGCAGCGATGACTGGAGTAGCTCCAACAGCGGAAAGAATTCAGGAAATCATGCAGAATGTCAATGGCAATCTGAGAATTTTACATCAGAACGATTTCCCTTTGGGAGAAAATCTCATTGCCTTACTCATGCTGTCACTTGCAGATTTGTCTCAGGACCAGAGGAACACTTTGACCTCTTTGATGACTCATCGTGGTAGGGTCCTGCAGCAATACACCACAACGACAAAGACTTCAGTAGACAATCCTCTGATGCAGCCAACAGGCGCTGGAGGTAGAAGAACTCGATGGTACATATGGCTATTGGGCCGAAGATGAAGAAGATGGAACAGAAGGATTCCTTGATGCCCTGGACGATGTCTTTTGGGTATATGATGAACAGAATTTCTCTTGGTTCCAGAGGAGATTCCAAGGAAGAAGAGCCAGAAAAGGCAAAGGAAAAGGAAGAAGAAAAGGAAAAGGTAAAGGAAGATCAGGCCGCAGATTTTTCAGACCTCGTGGAAAAGGAAAAGGAGGAAAGAGACGAGGTAAACGACACTATGCTGATGAGCAACCGCCAACTTATCCAGATGAGTATTTTGAGGAGAATCCTTATGAGGACACTTGGGAGTCAAACCAAGTAGCATATGATGTCATTCTTGCAGAAGATATGAATGACTATCTTCAAGGAGAACATGAAGATGCCAATGACTTTTGGCAACAACTTGAAGAAGCATGGTTTTCCCACAAAGGAAAAGGAAAAGGCCAGAGAAAAGGCAAGAAAGGAAAAGGAAAGGATAAAGGAGATGGCAAACAAGATGCAAACTATGCAAATCAACAACAGCCACGTTCTTTGCCTGCACCCTCAAGATCTTCACAAGCATCAGGAAGTCACCAAGGTTTCTTTGCGCATTGTGTGACAACAGCAGCTGAAGTCCATGACAGTGAGGTGAACTTGCTGTCAGGCATGATGACCTCATGTCAAGATGAAGCTGACTGTAAGGTCAACAATGGTGAGATGATCTTCGATGGCATGAGTGCCCCTGTGAGGTACTCTTTGTCAAAGGAGATGCTCACAAGTGCTCCTGATGGCTTTGCGCTTTTGAGCGCTGAGGAAGAAGTGAAAGAGATGCAGGCTATTTCATTTTTGACTGAGAATCGCTTCCCGCCAACTATTGCAATCCTGGACATTGGATGCACTAGAGCTATGGGATCAAGGCGTGCAGTCGATTATTTTTGTAACTATGTCGACAATCACCCAAATTGTGGACTATGGTACTCTTTTGAGGCTACCAAGAGCAAGTTTTACTTTGCCAACTCTCAGAAGGCTTCTTGCTCTCAGAAACTGGTGATTTACATGTATGATCGTGCATGGACGATCCATAATACAGAGTTCGACATAGTTGAAGAAGGAGAAGTCCCTTTGCTTATGAGCTTGCCACAGATGAGAAACTTAGGCTTTGAACTCAGGCTGACACCTCAACATGCTTATCTGACATCGGTGCCTCTTGGTATCAAGTTCTTGGAGTTGAAGGTTGCAGCCAGTACTCATCTTGTTTTGGACTTCCAAGATATTGCATGGTATCTGTCTGACGTGCGTTTGCAGGCTCGGCGTGAGAAGAGTTTTTACTCTCACTTCACTCACTATGAATATGGCCATATTTCTGTTGATCACAATAGTGATGAAGATGAAGCTGAGCATGCATATCCTGTGGTTGACTACTGGGAAGTAGATATTCACAAGAGAGAACTGATACGTCACCACAAGGATTACAGGAAGATTCTTTTCCCAGCAACTAAGTCCTGTCCTGTAGACACTGACTTGCTGGAAGACTTGCGACTAACAATCATCAAGAAGAAAGAAGGTGGAGAAGAAATTAAGAAGATAGATGATTGGCGCAAGGCAAAATGGAAGGACCTACAAATTGGCTATGAATGGCGTGGTAGAACAATGTTTAAGTTCAAGCCAGATGCCAAAATTCCAGATCTAAAGATCAGGAAGGCTGGCATTGAGCACCGTGGCATTGGTGATCCCGATGCAGTGGTGCGCTCCTCCTCAGAGAAGGTTCCCATTGCAAAGGACAGGGAACCAGGCTTCTCTTCAGAGAAGGAAGGTGTACCATCCAGTGCCGCGGAAAAGCCTGTGCCGCCAAAGTTTCGGTATACTTCCAAGGGTTATGATCCATTTTGGAAAGGACACAAGTTGAAACCATCTGAGCCCTCACATGATTTAAAGGGTGATGATCTTGAGGAGTATACTCCCTCAGAACCACGAGAGGCCAGAAGGTGAACTTGTAGAAATTCCTAAAGCATCAAAAGGACCATCAAGTGATAAACATGAACCACTTGAACCAGGTGATGGCGCTCTTGAGCCTAGGCGGATTTCAATCCCATTACCTGGTAGTGAAGTTGTTGCAATGACACCGGCATATAGGAAGATGTTGCAGAGACTGGAGGACAAGGTAGAGCTTTACAAGCTTCATGTGAAGCACTACCATATGAGTCCTACTCAGTTCCGTAGGCGTGTTTCTATGTTGAAGCTTCCTGACTCTGTTTTAGAGAAGTATGAATCAGTTGTCAGGAACTGCCGTGTTTGTAACACTTCAGTGGCACCTCCGCCACGAGCCAGAGTCTCCGGTATTAGATCTTCATGTTTTGGTGATGTTGTTTTTGCTGATCATTGTGAGGTTGAACTTCACAAGAACAAGTATATCATTCTACTTGTTCTTGATGGTGCCACAAATCTTCTCTGGGCTACGGCACAGAAAGACCTCATAGATCAAACCACCATCCAAGCATTGAGGCAATGGTCTGATGAGAACAACTGTGTTCCGAAGGCCATCGTAGGAGACGAAGCCTTTTTCACAGATGCTTTTGTTGAAGGTTCCATGGTATACAACAATGTCCTTGTGGGCCAAGAACTCCTTGGCCGAACCGAGCAGAGACAGCTGTACGTTTGTTCAAACGTATGTGGCATGTTATGAAAGTAGATCTGGATGACCCACGTTTTCGTGGTGTTACGGTCAGAGAAGTGGTCAAGAAGGTAGTTTGGGCAAGAAATTGTCAGTTGACTATCAGTGGATATTCACCAATAGAGATAGCAACTGGAAGACGTCCACCAGATCTTTTTGACCTTGAGACCGCAAGCCCTGAGCAATTATCAGCTAATGCAGCCGCACAAGATCGTACAAATCTGGAACTACAACGTGTGGCTTTGAGAGCTCATCAAGAAGCACGACAAGCTCAGGACCTTCGAGCAGATCTTGCAAGAAGGACTATGCCAAGTGACGGTCCCTATTTCCAAGGAGAGAAGGTTTTTATTTGGACTCAGGATTCATCAAAGTTCAAGGATAAAGGACGTTGGGTTCGTGCCACAGTACTTGGACAAGAAGGAGCTATGGTCCAAGCCAACACTGGTAAGTCAGTGGTACGTGTGAATCAGTCGAAAGTTAGACGCGATCACGATGAGTGGCATGATGTTTCAATACCGGCATTAGACGATGAGAATCCGGAGAACTTACGTGAAGATCACGAATTGTATGTTGATGCCGAATTTGGAGAACAGTCCTTTTTCTTTTGTAATGATGATCATCCTGATGTTGTTGAATTACTTCATGGAAACAGTGGATTATCTTGGTTCCTTTCAAGGAATGGTGTTAGAGTTGCATCTCCTATGGATTTCAAGGCAGGATACAACTTTTCCACTCTGAAGGGTCAAGATGGTATTTGGCAGCAACTTGAGAGATTGCAGCCCCACTGTGTGGTGATCAACAACCCTTCTCCCAAACAAAACAGAGCTTCTATTTGGTTGCTATGTTGTAATGTGATTGAGTGGCAGTTGAGAAGGAAGAAACATGTGTTTGTGATTGTTCCCAAAGGAAACAAGTTTTGTGTGTTTTTGCAGAAGTTCATTTCTTCTTTGAAGAATCCGGTTTTTACTTTTGATGTGGATATGAATTGTTTTTGTTATTGTCCTAAGGGAATTAGTTACGTGACAGTTTTCCATTCCTATGCATCCTGCCAAGGATGGAAAGGTATTGGTGACTGTTCTTTTCAAGCTAAAACAGTGCAAGCCACTAGAAGCAACCAGTATTTCAAGGATCCTGACTGGAAGAAGTGTCCTTTTTCATTTTTGGTTGAGATGAATCGTTTTCTTCCTTATGGTAAGACTTCCGATACGCGTC